TATGATAACAGTGAGAGTAACCTTCCCGTTTCAAGTAATATTCGACTTGTAATAAACTCTGCTGATTCCTCTTATGAGGCACATTTCAAATAATTAATATGGCTCCCTGTTGATAGGAGCTGCTGTTGCTCCCAGCATTTTTCCAGCTAACAGCAGACACAGTGGAGGGCTGTAATATACAGAGCCCCTCATAATTGTAAGTAAGAATATTGTGCATTCACTGACCATGTTTCAGTGGAACACTAAAGGCACTGTTATAAAGGATATAGACAGCGATTGTGCACTGTTAGCAGTCCACGTGTGATGGAGCTTATTAAAAACTTCAGATGATCTTAATTATAAAAGCATCGGATGTTTCCTGATGCTGCATATTTAGTTGCAAAAACATTTTTGTTTTTAAGTTCCTGTGTCATTACAGCAAATTGGTCTGAAATTTTGATCATGTAAATGAAAATAAGATTCTTTCACTACATATGGGTTCACATAACCTCATCAGATAAAATAATACTGATTTCCTATCTAATCCAGGAACATGGCTCTGACCACGAGTAATAATAACTGCCATGCACTCATACACACATACATCATCTTTCACAAGGACTTAAAGGTAGGCACTGAGGGGATATTCTTATATATAAAAAACAAGTGGAGGAGATTAAGCATCTTGCTCAAGCACATGCAGGGGGCAAAGAGCAAGGCCAGTGGTATTCTGACTATAAATCTAAAGTGTTTTCATCTATATCATATTTTTTTCAAAGAACATCTCACTATGCTAAACCTAGAAGAAATGTGCATAGATCTTAATCATTAAATTCTGACAAGTACAGCTCTTGAAACTGTTAGCCCTACATTCAGGTTTAAGTAAAGAGTCCCTTTAAAGGCCACATTAGTCTCTGGTCTTGGGATACACATGTAACTTCAAATATGCGCGGCATGGATACTTTAGAGACCACAGTGTGTATGTTCATTAAGGGAACAGGGACATCAAAGAGCCAGGAGAATGCGATGGGGGTTCTTGACAACTAGGTCTTGAACTTCGACTGCCATAATTTTCATTCTCTCTCCAAGGAGAAAGCTAGCAACCTGCGGGACTTGAGGTGTGGCAGGGAAAGCCACAGTGGTAGGGGGGCGACTGGAACCGTTAGACTTAGAGGACGGTCGGAAGTGCAGCCCTGGATTTCAATCTGGTGACTGAGATTTCTGACATACAAAATAAAACCCCAAATTTCTGGAGCTGTTGTTGATTGAGTGCATTAATCAAAATCTTAAAAACATTTCCATTTCACTTTAGATCCATGGTACCCCACATTTATCTCCAGAAAAACACATAGAGAGAATAAAACCTACTCTCACCCATGATTGGCTAAGGCACTGATTCTCAGGGCTAAGCGCTCTTCATCAAGGTGAGGATAACAGAACACAGGGAACGGGCTGTGCATAAACAGCCCCAGTGACTGAGAATTCCACCCCCTCATTAAGAATTACTGCAAAATAATAGCAATAAACTAAAGTGCAGTTAAAACAAAAAGTAACCTCCGTAAACATTTCTCTTAGACTTGATGGTGAATAATAGTCAACAAAAAAATGTGATCAGTTCCAAAAGAGCTTAGGGAGGTAAAAAGTATGGCAAACACATATTGTTTTTAAAGATCCGACGAAAATTGTCTTAGGGAACATACCCATTCTCTCATTCATCACATATTCCCCCATAATCTACTGTCTTACAGCAGCTTTTTATATCCAAATCTGTGATATACTGCTTCTCTCTTTGCCCTCATTTTTCCAAATTAAAAGATACATATTTTCTTCTTTTTCCTCCTGAAAGTTACTTCACTTTTCCCATGAATTTTTAAGCAAAACTAATCATATTGACATTTTGATTATACTTAAATTATCTATACATTGATTTGGAAAATAAACATTTAAAATATTTTGTCTTCATTTTTTAAAATAAATCTGTATTTGTTTAAATTGCCTTTTTAATATATAGAAATAAATTATTTTGGAAGTTTTCTATATTTGTTACAAGAATATTATTTCATGATTTAAGTATTCTATTTTCCAAAATTCAAACAAAATTTTTAAAAATTTCTTGATAACTTCCATTGGACTTTTTTGATGGTTATTGTGAGAATTATTAGTTATCAACTTTTACCTTCCTAACTACTTAGAGCTAGATACATTGATAATAATATCTTAGTTATTTTTGGAGATCTGTCTTTTTCTTATACTAAATATACTCTCAAGGTAAGAATCATCTATATACTACTTTTATATTTAACTCTTTTGTGATGCATAATTTAAATTTTAAATATTGATTTTATAGATGTAATTTAGGGGACAGAGTTTCCTGGTGCTGCTATTCACCTATCATTTTATGTTGAGTTCCTCCGCAGTTCTACAAAATAATAAACAATGTTTAATGATCGATTTATAAAATAATTACAATGAAATAAAAGTTTCTTGGCTTATTGCTAAGGGGTACAGAAGAACATGGCAATAGAGAAATGGTTGGGTAGCTTATGGATAAGTTTTTATTCATTTTTTAGTGTAAGTAAGTGATACATTTACATATAGATGTCACATTGATATGTCATTTTACATATCATACAATTCACCCAATGCAATCATACAATTTAATCATTTTTTGTATATTTGCAGATTTGTGCAACCACTGCCACAATCAATCTGAGACCACTTTCATCACCACACAAAGAACAAACAAATGAACAAACAAAAACCCCAAAAGCCCGTTAGCAGTCATTCACCACTTCCTCCCTCATCCACCAGTTCTAGGCAACCACTCATCTACTTTCCGTCACTATATAATTTGTCTGCTCTAGACATTTCATATAAGTGGAATTATACAAATATAGTCATTTGTGACCTGCTTCCTTCACTCAATATAATATTTCAAAGCTCGTCCATTTAGTATCACAGGTCAGTACTTCCTTCCCTTGTGTTGCCAAATGTTTGTTGTCAAACAACCACAAATATAGGTTGTACAGAGTATCACATTTTATGTATCTATTCATCAGTTGATGGATATTTTTGGATCATTCCCATTTTTTTACTATACTAAATAGTCAAATACTCTAATGGTTCTCTGAACCTTCATGTACAAGTTTTCTGTGGACATACCAGAATGTTCGCATTTTTCTTGAATATACCTAGGAGTGAAACTGCTGAGTCATATAGTAACTATGTATAAACTTTCTTTAAAAAGTATGTTTTTATTAATTTCAGAAGAAAGGGAGAGTGTGAGAGAGAGATAGAAACATCAATAATGAGAGAACATAATTGGTTGCCTGTCTGCCTCTGCACGCCCAGCATGGGAGAGAGTCTGCAACCCATGCATGTGCCCTGACCGGGAATTGAACGTTGACCTCCTGGTCTATAAGTTGATGCTCAACCACTGAGCCACTCTGGCCAGCTTTTATGTGAAACTTTTAAGGGACTGTCAGTCTGATTTCCAAAGACGCTATATCATTTTACTTTTCATTAAGAGTGAGTGAGTGTTCCAATATCACAAAAATGTTTTTTTTGTTTGTTTGTTGGTTGATTGGTTTTTTAAGGTGGTAGTGTAGTTAAACCAGGATTGATTAGATTTTGACACAATATTAAGACAATTGTGCAAACTTTGAAGGGAACAATTTCCCCCAAGTAACTATCTCCCCAAGAAAGGTAAAACAGAGGGTTTGAGTCAGAAGAGCTCAAGTTCATCCACAGTGAGAGAGAAGGAGAAAAATTAAATGAGCTAGCCCTCCCCAAATATGGACAGCTCACATCCTGAAATGAAAATGCATGAACTGTACAGAGTCAGGTATGCAAAGGTGTAGAAACTGTAAGGGTGCTGGTAATACAATCAACACTACAGCAAAAACCCAAAGGCCATTACGGATTTTGGAAAAACCATTATTTTTCTATCTTCAATCTCTTTTTCAACTTTCATTTAATTTCTACTTCATTGAGGAACCACATGCAATTTCTACTAACCTTCAAATATGGAAAAGACTTGACCAGTTCTAAGCATAAGAAAAAAACATCCCCCCCACCCTCTTTTTCTACTCTCGACAATTTACTTGCCCATCAGAACACAGAAATGCACTTTTAGAACCACAGCATTTGGAGGGAGAAAGACATTTGGTAGCTTATAGACCCAACCCCACACTTTAGAATGAGGA